AAAAAAAAAAATAGTGGAATGAACTCAAATGCAACAAATAAAGATGATAATCAAATAAATGGAAAGTTTCTAGCCCACGGTTCTGCCTACACCCTCGACTGACACGTCTAATCAATTTTAGTACCAAATCTCGCTATCTCATAGAATTACTAGCTCTAGGAAACGACACAGTCTGTTACCCAAATTTTTCTTTAATTTTAATTTAACCGCGAGACGCTCTACGATTAAACCTGACTTCTTGTACAGTCTAGAAAACGCTTCTTAGATTTAATACAATCAGCCGCTTTACGAATTAGAAAAGTAGACTAGACTAAGTAGTGAACTCAACCGCGTTCATTCACTTAATTAGACCGTGTTATTCCCGATAGTTACCATCTTCCGGATACCACTTGCGAATTAAACACATCAACAATTACGGATTGAAAGCCTAATTCAGGTGTAGATATGAAAAGCCTAATCTAGGTGATCAGTCTAAACAAGACTCAACACATCATGGTTAATTATTCAAAATAACACGAACAATTTCAAAAAGATAATTAAATTATCAACCAAGAAAATTAATCAAACATCGTCAAGTCGTAGGATTCGATATCCCCAGAACTAGAATAAAATCTACTCTAACATACTAATAAAAAGAAACAATAGGTAAAATAGAGAGATTAAGTATCTCTCCCGTGTACGGGCGCGGCCTCCCTCCGCGATTGCCGATTTCTCTCGTTCTTGTCTGTGCGTCTTCTTTCCCGTATGCGTGGCGGCCCTGTCTTTTCTTCCTCTGTTCCCTTTTTAATTTCTCTTACTCCCTGTAAATAATTCTCTCAGGACTGCCAATATATGTAGAAGCGGCTGCTTCCAATTAATTCCTATTGGCTTGCGTGAGTATATCAAAGAAGAATTTGCACCCCCTACTTTAAGTTGTGAAATATATTACACTCTTACACCTATTATAGTAATATATGTAAACTTACCAGAACATGGATAAAATATTGCACTTCTACCTAAAATGTTTTATTTTCTCTCTCCTCTTTTTTCTATTCATCTTATCTCTCACCATGTTCCATTTTTCCGTAACTTCCTTCTCCCCTTTCTTTTTCCTCTGTCTTCTTCCTCCCTAATTATTTCTTGTATTTTTTATTTATCAAATTCACAGGCACAAAACATCAACCAACCACCAGTTTCTGCTTCTTGTTGAACAGAAGCTTTGGCATCTCAGTCACCACCAACGACTCCCCTCCATCATTATCCCATGTTCCTCAAAATTCATAAATAAAGGAACCATTACATTAAAAAAAAAATTGTTGTTCTAGAAATTTAATTAAACACCTTGAGGGTGAGCAGAGCCGAATTTGTCATCCACATCAACATACTCGTTCCAATCATTCCTTTTAGGCCTATCCAGAATTTTTGAGGGTCTCGACTTCCAGGTGCGTCTAGTCTGCCTCGTGACTATGCTGGTCTTGGAGTTTTAGTGATACTTTATTTTTTTTTTCTGTTTGGAACTTTTTTACTTGATGTTCTTTTTGGAAAGAGAAGCCGGGTAAATCAGCCCGAACAAACTCCATGCTTTGAGGCTTGGAATTAAAGCAATGCTATAGTACCATTGCTATTTGGAGTTTCAGTGGTATTTCTTTATGGAGAAATAGAGCAAATTTTGTTTCTTGGTTTTGGAATATTTTTTTTCTGATTTTGGGGTTTTGATTGGATCATATGTTGAATTAGCATTCTTTCACAATTCTTGAGTATTAATGAGGAACAATTGAATTTACAACATACAATTGAATTTACTGCAATGTACACGTTCTTTCAGGATTTGTTGGTTTATTGGCTTTCATGGTTTTGCTAAATCAGGTTCTGTTTGCTGCGTAATACTGTTCATAATCTCCACTTAGGGAGACCGTATA